AAAAAAAAAAAGAATACTTGAACTTGCCCCCTGAGTGAAGGGTTCTTGTACAAATGGAGCTTTACCCTGGAAGGGAGAACAATGTAACCTAAATATTGTACCTTCGTATAAATTTGGATAAAGTTTTAAAAAATGAGGAAAAAAAGAATACATGAATTTGTATAAGGTTTTAATTGATATTTTTCTCTTAAATGATAGTATTAAGGATAGAAATTAATGATTTTAGTGCATTGTTTTGCATACTAAATCCTATTGAGAGCTTTAAATAAAGTAAATTTTCTTTAGAACAGTAGTAAAACACTTATTTTTCTTTGAAATCTATAGGTCTGTGTTGAGGGGGTATAAATTTTATGCCAGAGTTGTGTGGGGGAGGAACACCATTAATCTGATATGTAGAAATGGGATCCCATTGCTTTAATGTGTGTTACTTTCATTCATGAAATCTAGCATCCTTTTTTTGTTATTGGGATTTTTTCCCCTGTGAATTGTGTCCTTATATTCTACTTGTTTTCTACTGTATTATTCATTTTTTCCTAATTGATTTGTAAGATATTTTTTAAAAAATTTTTAAGTATACTACAGAAAAATTAGCTTTTTGTTCTATCTGTTGAACTCATTTTTCTTGGTTTGAGGTTTGCCTTTTACTTTTATTTATGGTACATTTTATGTTGTCATTTAACTTTGTGTGGTGGCTTCTGCCTGCAATCCACCACTTTGGGAGGTTGAGATGAGAGGATTGCTTGAGGCCAAGAGTTTGAGACCAGCCTGGGCAACATAGTGAGACCCTGCTTCTAAAAAAATAAGGAAGAAATTAGCTGAGTATGTTGACACACACTTCTGGTCCCAGCTGCTTGGGAGACTGAGGAAGGAGGATCACTGGAGCCCAGCAATTTGAAGCCCATGAAGCCCATTGAACTGTGAATGTGTGACTCCACTGGAGCCCAGAACAAGACATCTCTTTAAAAAAATTAACTTTTAATTGGATTATTTGATTTTTGTTTCCTATTGAGTTATTGGAGCTCCTCATATATTCTAGTTTTTAATCCCTAGTCAGATGAACAGTTGGTAAATATTTTCTCCCATTCTGTGGGTTGCCTTTGCTGATCATTGTCTTTGCTGTGCAGAAGTTTTTTTGCTTGATATGATCACATTTGTCCAATTTTGCTTTTGTTGCCTGTGGTTTGAGAGTATTAAGAAGTTCTTGCCCACACCAGAAGCATTTCTCCATCGTTTCTTTTGGCGGTTTCATAGTTTCAGGTCTTTAAGATTTAAGTCTTTAATCCATTTTGATTACATTTTTGCATGTGATGAGAGATAAGGATCTAGTTTCTTTCTTCTACATGTGGAAATCCGGTTTTCCCAGCACCATGTATTGAGGAGACTGTGCTTTTCCCACGGTATGTTCGGGGCACCTTCACCTCTGCTTTCTCTATTCTGTGGCTTTGGTCTGTGTGTCTGTTTCTATGCCAGCACCACGCTGTTTTGGTTACGTTAGCTGTGTAGCGTACAGAATTTGAAGTCAGGTAAGGTGATTACTCCAGTTTTGTTCTGTTTGCTCAAGATGATTTTGGGTGTTCTACCTAGGTCTTTTGTGGTTCCATATACATATGATGGCTTTTTCTACTTCTGTGAAGAATGTCATTGGTACTTTGGGTACTGCATTGAATCTGTAAATTGCTTTGGGTAGTATGGACGTTTTAACAATATTGATTCTAATCCAGCAGTTCTCAACCTGTGGGTTGAGACCCCTCTGGGGGTCTCTTGCATATCAGATATTTACAGTATAATTCCTAACAGTAGCAAAGTCATAGTTATGGAGTAGCAACAAAAATAATTTTATGGTTGGGGGTCACCATAGTATGAGGAACTGTATTAAAGGGTTGTGGCATTAGGAAGGTTGAGAACCACTGTCTAATCCATGAGCGTGAAATATGTGTATCTTCCCATTTTTTGTATCTTCAACTTCTTTCATTAGTGTTTTATAATTTTCATTACAGAGATCTTCCACATGTTTGGTTAAGTTTATTCCTAGGTATTTTATTTTACTTGTAGCTATTTCAAATGGGATTATTTTCTTGGTTTCTTTTTCAGATTGCTTATTGTCAACATATAGAAGTTTTACTGATTTTCATATGTTGATTTGTAAAAATAAATTTAACTTTTGAGTGGCCAAATTTATCAATACTTTGTGACTTGAGTGACCACTTGAGTGGTCAAATTTATCAGCACTTTGGGACTTGAGTATCTATACTTGTAACTTTTGAGTGGCCAAATTTATCAATACTTTGGATTTTATAGAACAGTTAGAAAGACCTTTCATAGTTAAGATTTTCTTTTAATGTAGTCCTATTTTCATTTAATATTTTCATGCTTTAACTTTTTATATTTAAATATTTAAGAATTTTTTCTTAAATTCTTAAATATTAAGAAAAATTCTTAAATATTAAGAATTTTTTTTGATTGTTCAACTAATTTTATTATCGCTTTCAACGTGCTAGGCACTGTTCTGAATGTTGGGATTTATTCTAAATCTGGGGCTACAGCAGTGAACACAGTCCCTGCCTCCACAGAGTTTAGATCTGGTAGGAGATTTGGTCAGTATTATCCTTCAGGTTTTTAAATCTATCTTCATTTATATAAATTCTGTTAGTCATTAATTTATGCATCAATTTATTGATACAATATTTATTCGTTAATTTATTTGCAGTAAATGCATGCAGTCACTTATCTACCAAATATTTATTTTGAATTTACTAAATAGTAGGCCCTGTTTTAGGGGCCAGGGTGCAATAGTGTCTAAAACGAGGTGCCTGCTCTGGTAGAGGTTTTTGTTTTAGTAATGAACAAACAGGGTAACATCAGCTGAGTGCTGCCCGGAGTAGGGCAGTGGGGAGCTGCAGAAGGGAGGCTTTCAGGTGCCTTTAGATTTGGTGATCAGGGAATGCCTGTCTAGAAAGATGACATCTCATCTAGGACCCAAGAGGTAAGAAGGGAACCATGAGGAACGATCCAGAACAAGGGAGCAACAAGCAGAAAGGCTGTAGGTCTGGTGAGGTTGAGGAAAAGTAAGGAGACCAGCATGGCGGTTTGGAGTGGAGAGGGGAGGTGGCAGGACCAGAGGACAGAGAGATAGGCAGGTTGTAGAGGATGCTGGAAATCGGAGCAAGGAGCTTGAAATTTATTCCAGGTGTGGTGGGGAGCCCTTGGGGGATTTTGAACAGGAGCTGACATGCTCGCCCTTGCTTTTATGTGAAGAGGGGATCGGAGGTCAAGAGACACAGCAGGGAACCAGTGGAGTCCCTTTTCTTCTCCTTCCCTTTGGCCCTGGTCAATTCAAAGATCACCCCCCAAACCTTTCTGACTTACTCAGATTAAATTTCTGCCTCCTGCGTGCATCTCCCTTCGTATCTACTTTTGTGGTAGTTCTTAACTATACTGTACTATAATTGTTTATCTCTCCCCACTAAGGATTTCAAGAGCAGGTCCCGTATCTGATGTCATTTTGTATCTCCAGCTTCTCTTGCACAATGCTTCACAAATAATGAATACGTTTGCTAAATTGCATTTTGTATCACATTTAATTGTCACATATTAAAATGTGTGTATTTTTTTTTCTAGAGGCGTGGAGCTATTTCCTATGACAGTTCTGATCAGACTGCATTGTACATTCGTATGCTGGGTAAGCCTTATTTATTTTCTACCAATATGAATATCGTAGATTGTATTGTTATTTGAGGTTGAGGTATCTTTGGTTAGGTAACTTTTCATCACTCTTGGTAGCAGATTTAATTGATGTCAATGAAATTTAGAAACCAATATTGAATGTGGTGTGAATAAAGAGAAGCATTTTGGAGTTATAGGTAATTGAATAATCTCTGGCTTAATAACTGGGACTCTATCATTAATACACAATTTTAAGTTGCATTTTAACATTTTTTAAAAAAAAGAAAATTGACTTGTAGAGTTGCCACATAGTGAAGAGATGAATGCCAACACAGATGGGGGCCCATCAGAGATGCCCCATCAGACAGTCCTGTCACTAGATGCATTTTGTTCTTAGTTGGCTGGCGAGGGATACGGTTTTTCTTCTAGTCCCAGTGCTTACATTTTTAATAAGTTACTGGATTCCAGAAGGTAAAATGAATTTAGATGTGTGTGTATAATTATACATATTATTTTCTTTCTCCTTTTTTTGTGCCAAATTTATCTTGTCATCCACACATTCCTTAATCTTCTGCACTTTAATTCATGCTATTAAAAATACACGATTATGACTCCAGTAGGCAAATTTACTCATCTTTTCTTAGAGAAGGTTCCCGTGACTCCTCTCCTTACGCTCAGAATGCCTCTCAACTTTATGATACTGAACCATCCTTACTCTTTACCTACTTAGTTTTTCCTCTGTCTCCTTCACTCATTCCTTTTCATGCTCTTAAGCCAAATATTCCCCAACGTTCTGTTTTTGCTCTTATTCCTTTTTTCCTTTTAAATTTACGTTTCGCATCTTAAATGCCTCAATCCTGTTCTGTTCTATTCTTCTATTCTGTTCTATTCCATTCCATTTCATATTTTTGCCCTATAAATATGCAACCTTTTCCTCTTTGCTATCTCCATTTTTCTCTACAAACATACTCAGGATCCCACTTCCTTAAGGCAGTGTCCTTTAACTGTGCAGAGCCGTCTCCACGTGCGTGTATTATGGATATCTCAAACTTAACATGTTTAAAACCAAAGATTCGTCTTCCCCGTGTCTGTTCATTTTGCCACTTTGGTAAATGTCACTCCATTCTTTCAGATGTCAGGTCAGAATGTCATCATCGCTCACTGCAACCTTAAACTCCTAAGCTCAAAGGATCCTCCTTGTCTTAGCTTCCTGAGTAGCTGGACTACAGACCTCACACCCCACACCTTGCTGATTTTTCTATTTTTTTGTAGAGATGGGACCTCGTTATGTTTCTCAGCCTAGTCTTGAACTCCTGGCCTCAAGTGATCCTCCCCTTTTGGCCTCCTAAAGTGCTGGGATTATAGGCATGAGCCATTGTGCCTGGCCATTTTTTGACTATTTCTTACACACGCTGTGTTGAATTCTTCAGCAAATCCTATTGGTTGATATTGTCAAAATACATGAGGACTCTCAACCCCCGTGCTTACCACCATGATCTAAGCCGCAGTCATTGCCTCGTCTAGCACACTTGTGTGCCTCCACTCAATTCTAGTCCACACAGCCAGAGTGAACCTTTTCAGACTTAAGTCATCTCACTCCATTATTTAGAAACCTGGTGGCCTGAAGGTACAACATAATCTGGCCCCACTGCCTCTCTGACCTCACCCCACCAGTTCCTCTCACTTTCCTTGCTCCTACCCTGCTGGCCTCTCTGCTTATCCTTGCCATGCCGAGTTTACTGCCGTCTCAGGGTGTTTATACCTGCTCATCCTCACGTGTGGAAACCTCTGCCTCCCGAGAGCCACTTGGCACCCCACCTCATTTGCTTCAGGTCCCTGCCCAGGTAGCTCCTTTTGGGTGTGGCCTTCCTTGGCCATACCAATGAGTCACCTTCTTCCTCCTCCCTCCCTGTTCCTCTTCCCTTTCCTTAGTTTTCCCCATGTAACTTGTCATCCTCCGTAGAATGAAATTATGTGTTTACTTTATTGTATGTGTCATCCCACAAAAAGATAAGCTTCATGAGAATAGGGCTTGATGTATTTTGCTCACTGCTGTTTTTTGCTGCTCAGTAACCATTTGTTGCAGTGTGAAGGAATCACCACATAAAAGGTTAGATCATCGTGGTATGGAGTTAAGGCAGCTAAAACGAGCCTTTAAGGGAATTATGGTTTTATTTAGAGAAACAAAGAGTAAGCAGGGGCACCTTCTAAGCAAGCAGAATTATAAGAGCACGGGGACGGACTGAAGACTTAAAGGTTATAAAATCGGAGGCTGTGACGGTGCAGTGGGAAAGCTAGGTTTGCATCCTGGCTTACCCTTTGCCCTAGCTTTGTGGCATGGATCACACTGTTTTAGCTTACCCTTCGCACTAGCTTTGTGGCATGGAGCACACTGTTTTAACTTCTCCAAGTACAGCTTTTGCATCTGTAGAATGGGGATTAAGATTCCTATCTTCTCAAGGTTGATTGGAGAATTAAATGAAACAATGCCTGTAAGACACAAAGAGAGTGGCTAGTATGTAGTTGCTATGGTTACGTTGCTATATAGAGAAATAAATCTGAAAGTTGTGGATACGTGTAGGAACAACACAGTTTATAAAGACCAAAGTTTAAAGCCCACCTAAAGGCCCTGGGTGTCTACCCACTGTCAGTGAGAAGAGAAGATTAATGAAATGGACTTAAGGCAAAGTCTTTAACATTTTAATTTTTTACACGTTGATGAACTTGTAAAAAGTGCTAGAGAATAGGTCGTGTATTTTCTATGTTTCATATCCCCTTTGGCCCATAGTATAGGGTTAGGCACAGAAGAGACACTTAATAAATTTTTTTTTCTTGTTGTGGTTTTTAAAATTTTTCTGTCGAGGATTTTCTATTTCCTATAAAACATTTTGTATTCCAGTAGCCATTCCCCTTTTTTTAAACTACCTGTAAATAATAAGGTGTTAGGTTACATTATCATCAACTCGCATCACCTTTCAGAAGGCTCAGTTTAAACTATAGTAGATTATAATTGTTATTATTGTAGGGGTAGGTGCTTAAAAAAAAAAATAAAAACCTTGTCCAGCCTTATAATTCAATACTGAAATGTTGTGACCCTCTTCAAGTAAATCTGCTTAACTACATGTTCTATATATATCGTTAGTGCATTAGTGGGCAGTTACTTTTGAATATGATAACCACGTGGACCTTCGTTGCCTATGGAAGCTTCTCGACAATCTTCTGACCTTATTTTTATTCTTGATTCTGTCTAGGAGATGTACGCGTAAGAAGTCGAGCAGGATTTGAATCGGAAAGAAGAGGTTCTCACCCGTATATTGATTTTCGTATTTTCCACTGTAAGTGTTGGCAGACATAATGTTTCTCTGGGACTTTCACTACACTTCAGATCTTCATAGAATTACATAGTTTTCCGAGAGAAAAAGAGTACAAGAAAAAAACTTTATCATGTTTAAAATGTTTTAAAATTACTGAGTCACGTTAAATGACACTGTTTCTAGATAACATTAGCAAATGTTTAGTGGTAGAAAAGGAAGGTATTACAATATGAAAGTTAATATAGCTTTTCTTCTTTCTAATTTAAATGTGAAATTACTTTAGTATCATTTTTTTCTTTAAAAATATATATTTTTTAAAGAAATTGTTTGATTCCAAATAGTTTATTACTTCAGAGAGAATGTTTTTATGCAAATTATATTTCATAAAGGTTATGTTATCCTTTATGTTTATTTGAAAATACGCATCACCTCCAAAGATGTTTGGTAGAATGCATAGTTTTAAAAACATTCTAATTGTGTCTGGCCTAGAAGGCCAAAACAGAACATTTAACCCCCCTTAAATATTAAACACATTGTTTGTTTTTGGAGGAGTTTTACTTTCAATGATGTTAGATAATTAAAACAATGAGAAAAACTAGACAAAATACAAAATGCATGTATTTGAATGTATTAGAATACTCTTAAGGCAGAGAGATGAACCTGGGCTTTCAGGCCGTTTTCCCCCTTACTGACCTATGCTGATTCTGGGAAAGGTGCATGAGAAGCTGAAGCATTGTTGTAGCAGTTAAAGGCTAAAATAACAAAAATAGGAGTTCAGAACCCTCTAAGTCAAGGCTGGGAGGTTGGTACTGGTAAACACTCTTGGCTTAGGTTGGAACCCCAGAGTGCTACACATTAGAAATAAATCCCAGCTTGGCCAGGCTTGGTGGCTCATGCCTGTAATCCTAACACTCTGGGAGGCCAAGACAGGTGGATTGCCCTGAGAGCTCACGGGTTTGAGACCAGCCTGAGCAAGAATGAGACCCTTGTCTCAAAAAATAGCCAGGCATTGTGGCAGGTGCTTGTAATCTCAGCTACTTGGGAGGCTGAGGCAAGAGGATCACTTAAGTCCAAGAGTTTGAGGTTGCTGTGAGCTGTGACACCACAGCACTCTACCAAGAGCAACAAAGTGAGACTCTGTCTCAAAAAAACAAAGAAAGAAAGAAAAGGAGATAAAGAAATCCTAGCTTTGAAATAGTGATTACATATTAAGGTGATCTATGACCATCATGCCTTTAGCAACCTGCAGGAGAAGGATGTTTCCCATCCTCAAGGTTGCAGGCCGCGAATACAGCCCTGGGAAATGGCTCAGGTAAAGATTGCACAGAGCTTTGCATTTTCAGCACACTCTGTAAGAATGAATATAACGGGACACTTGGGTCTTCTGTGGGAGATTCCCCTCCCAATATTAACAAGTGACTTCAAAGTGTACTGACGTAAGACAACTACCTCTTCTTAGACTCATGATTCTGAGAGTCAGGAATTCAGTCAGGAAATATCAGATTCTGCTTACCTGTGCTCTGCTATGTCTTGCTCTTTGATTATACAGCATGATACATACTGGTTCATACAGCATGAAATGGCTAGGATGGCTCTGCTGGTTCCTTAAGCCTGGGACTTTGTCATCTCCTAGGGCTGGAGCCTAAAGATGGCTGCTGAGTGCTTAGGTCTGGTGCTGGACCTGGGAAGGCTGACATTCCCTGGTTGGCATTTCTCTCTCCATAAATCGCAGTCTCAAGGAAGCCTTAGGATAGTTGGATTTCCTGCGTGGTAGCTGCCTTCTCCCAGAGCAAGCATTTCAGAGAGAGAGAGAGTAGGCACTCCTACGCTCTGAAGGTCTGGGCCCAGCCCCTAGCACAATATCACGTTTCCATATTCTGTTGGTTGGTCATGCTCAGATTCATGGGGAGAGGACATAGACCCCAAAATGAGGAAGTAAGGTCAAAAGTTTTAATCTTCCATCTTTAATCTGGCACAAAATATGTTGAGAAAGTAATTAGGGTCCCAGCAGGAGGGGAAAGAGAGAGGGTAGCAGAAGCCTTTTTTTCTAAGAGATAATACACAGATTAAGGCACAGATTCAAGAAGCATTAAAAGTCTCAAGCCGAGTAACATTAAAAGAAAATCATACCTAGGTTTACCACAGTATAACTGTGAAAACCAAAATCAAAGATAAAATACTGAAAGGAGAAAGATATTAGATTCAAAGGAGCAGTTATGAGATGGCCAGAAACAATCAGTGTGTTTCCCCATCAGTAGAAACCAAGAAGTTAAAAGTCAAGGGACAACAGCTCTGACGTACTAGAAAAAATAAATATCACACTGAAATCTTAGCCACTAACTCTTGTAGAGAACAGGCGGGAAAGGACATAGTTAATTTATTTTGTAAGGTCAGCACAATCTTGATCAACCTGACAAGGATATGACAAGAACAGAAAATTCCAGTCACGTCACTTATGAATATGGATGAAACATCCTAAATAACATATTATCAAATTAAATTTGTAATATGTAGGGAGAATAATATATTTTGACCCAATTTGTGTTTTTCCTGCAATGTAAAGTTGGTTTAACATTGAAAAATTAGTCAGTGTGATTCATTATATTTATAGAATAAATGAGAAAAATTATGGATACACCAATATGCTAAATGCTCAAATGACATTGCTAAATGCCATTATGACCAAATGCTAAAAAACTATTTGATAAAATTCAACGTTTGTTCTTTGTCAAAATTCTAAGCCAGCTTGGCATAGAGAAGTCATTTGAAGTAGAATATTTATAAAACCTATAGCAAATATATTTTGTAATGTTGCAGTATTAAAACTTTCTGAGTTAAGAAATCAAGAATGCCTTTTATCACCGTTTGTATTCAATATTGTTTTGAAGGGCCTAACCAGTACAGTAATTGAAAAAGAAATGAAAGGTATAAGGTTAGAAAATAAAAAGTAAAAATGTCATTATTTATGGATAATATGGTTATGTACTTAGAAAATTGTTATAGTTAATAAGTGAATTTATGAAATATGTGTTTTCAGCTGGAAGCTCTGCATCTCAGCCTGTCAGAATGGCCACCCTGTGGGCTACACCCCTTTATGAGAAATAAAGCTTTCCCTTCTAAATTTAAAGAAAAAGTGAGGCTTGGCGCTTGTGGCCCAAGTGGCTAAGGTGCCAGTCACATACACCTAAAGTGGCCGTTTAAATCCAGCCTGGGCCTGCCAAACAACAATGACGGCTGCAACCAAAAAATAGCTGGAGTTGTGGTGGGCGCCTGTGGTCCCAGCTATTTGGGAGGCTGAGGCAGGAGACTCGCTTGAGCCCAGGAGTTGGAGGTTGCTGTGAGCTGTGATGCCACAGCACTCTACCCAGGGGGACAGCTTGAGGCTCTGTCTCAAAAAAAAAAAAAAAAAGTGAATTTATCATGTTTTCTGGGTACAGAGTCATTGATTACACTTATGGAAAGCAGCATCAACAAAAGTGAGATAATATACAATTTGAATTTGCTTCAAAATATCAAATATGTAGGGAGAAATCCAGTGATATGCATGACTCTGCATGGAGAACTGTAGGACTGCAGGGAAAAATGAAAGAAGACCTAAGTAATTGTAAGTGTAGGTCCTGTTTTATGGGATTGGATGTCAGTATTTAAAGATACAAGTTTTTCTCAAGTTGATCTATATAGATTTAGTGAAATCACAATGAAAATTCCTGTTTTTTTGTGTGTGTGTGTGGCCTCAACAACCTGATTTTAAAACTTCTATTAAAACTGAAAAGGTCAAGAATAAACAGGATAATCCAGAAAAAGAACTAAGTTACAGAATTTACTTCTAGGTATCAAAACTTATTACAAACTGTAGTAATTTAAGTCAGGGTGATATTGGTTCAAGGTCTAATAAGTAGAATGCATTATAGAATCTAGAAATAGGCTCACTTGTATGTGGATATTTGATTTGTGACTAGTACAGCAATTCAGTGGGTAGAAGATAAAAGGTGCTAAATTAAGTAGATCTCCATATAAGAAAAAAAATAAATTTTGACCCTTTTGTACTATACATGAAAAAATTCAAATTTGAGGGGATTAACTTTGCCAAATTATGCTGATAAATCAGATGGGAAGAGGAATGAGAACTGCTTTAGTAGTGTGGAACTAGTGATAAGGGAAGCCTGAGATGAGGGTGAGTTTAAGAGAGAATAGGAAGATAGGAATTAGATACGGCAAGTACAGACAGCTCTTTTCGAGAATTGTGCTGCAAAGGAAAGGAATAGGGCTGGGCGCAGCCGCTCAGGCCGTAATCCCAGGTCCAGGGCCGGGCACAGCGGCTCACACCGTAATCCCAGGTCCAGGGCCGGGCGCAGCGGCTCACGCCGTAATCCCAGGTCCAGGGCCAGGCTCAGTGGCTCACAGTGGCTCATGCCGTAATCCCAGGTACAGGGCCGGGCGCAGCGGCTCACGCCGTAATCCCAGGTCCAGGGCCGGGCTCACTGGCTCACAGTGGCTCATGCCGTAATCCCAGCTACAGGGCCCAGCGCAGCCGCTCACGCCGTAATCCCAGGTACAGGGCCGGGCGCAGCGGCTCACGCTGTAATCCCAGGTACAGGGCCGGGCGCAGCGGCTACTCAGGAAGCTGAGACAGGAGTTTGAGCGCAGGAGTTAGACATTTCTGTGAGCTATGATGAGGCCATGACACTCTACTCAGGGTGATAGAGTGAGACCCTGTCTAAGAAAAAAAGAAAAAGAAAAGAAAAAGAAAGAAGAGAGGCAGCCAACAGGGGAAGCAGGATCACTGATACTAGAAAGTAATAGAGGGCTAAGAAACAAAAAGACCTGGCCACTTGGACATTTTTTTAATTCTGAATTTAATTCTGAAATACTTCTTGGATTATAGAGACAGACTAGAAAAAGGTATACTTATAATTCATAATTGCCAAGACATAGAAAGGTGCCCATTGACCTATGAATGGATTAACAAATTGTGGTATATGTACACCATGGAATACTGTGCAGCCATAAGAAAGGTAGAA